CCACCCCGCCCCGCCCCGCCCCGCCCCGACATGCAGGAGAAAGCCGCCCGAAAGTGGGCAATATGCTCACCACGAATGCGTTCGGATGTAGTGTGCGTGATCTGCAAAGCGCACCTCGAAAGGATCCACTGGCGGGGTCGACATGCATGTCAACCTCGAAGCTTGGATTAGGCAACGGAGGCGCTTGTGCTGAAGGCACGCTGAGACTTGTCGCCCTTTGCCTGCCTCGGCAGCTCCCACGCACATGCTTTCCAGAAATAGCTCCACATCCTCCTCTGAAGTGTTAGGGATCAAGCGAAATTTGTGTCCCCTCTGCACCTTGCTACAGCCTGTAGCCCTAAAACTGGCAGGTGAGATCAGGTGAGGTTGCCTGGCACAAACATCATGCTAGCTCTTGCGGATGCATCGTGAACCTTCGTGCTGCTATGCCGAAAACAGGTCCTTGCGGAAGTCTAACGCCAAGTTTTTTATGACCAGTGTGGAGACCTGCAGTAATTTACTGGTCCTCTGTGCCATCTCCTGTACATGGGCCGAGCCTCTTCGCTGCCGCGGCGGCAGGGCCCTAGCTTTCCACCTGAAATGCGCAGGTTTGACGAGGACTTGACAACAGTATACAACAGTCTCTTCCATAATTTTACCGTGTATGTGGGGTATAGGGAGCGCACCCATGCTGAGGGCAGGTGAAGCTGGTGCAGTCGCACAGGGCCTTCCGCCACAAAGCACTTCTCGCACTTTCGCAGCTCCCGCTCGGGCATTCGCCGCGCCTTCTGCCTGCCTGTCGCTGGGATGGGTGGCCCGAACGGCCTTGCTACAGGGAATGTAGCCAAATGGAGCACTTCGTTAGCAAGGGCCCTGCGCGGAAGCAGTGGAGAGCAGCTCAGAGCTCGTGATTCCGGCTCTGGCTCCTACAGTTGAGTTCACAAATGTTTGCAGGATCTCATCGACAGATCGACATGATGACATCATATCATTCTCCGACAGTGTCAAAGCCTGCCTGCCCACTCGCACTTTCCTTCTCGCCACGGTCTTGAGGCAACGGCCTGGGTATAACATGTGCATACGGACGCGGTTGTACTTGAGCTTGTCTGTCACCCGAGTAAGCTCCTCGCGGACGATTATTCTTGCATCCGACCCTCTTCGCCAGCCGCTCGGAAGACCCCCTGTAGCTTGCCCGCATAGCTTGCTTAGGCAGAAGCGACCACAGCTCACGTTATATAGCACCGAGGCAAGCACAGCATGGAACCTGTCGAGTCGCCGTCCACGGGAAACCTCTTGCTGCTGCTCTCTGACATGATCTTGAGGCTATGACAAGGTCGCCAGCAGCATGCCAGAGGCTTTAACGAGTGCAAGGTTTCGTGAGCACACAGCATTGGCAAAGCTAGGCAGTCTGGCTGCGACGGACTGAACTCCGGTGCAGCCGGATTGAACCTCGCAAGAGTGGAAACAGGCATGCGGCATATGCAACACGAGTCGTGTCCTCGGATTCTCAGGCTACGACTCGAAGAGTGGTTCGTGCTCAATCGCTTGCGTCACTGCCACCATTTCGGGAGCGATTCAAGGTCTTCCTGCGGGCACAAATAGACTCGGCCTTCAAAGTTCCCGGTCTCTCGGACCTGGGCTGTCTGCGCTCGCGCGTAGTGAGGCCGTTTGTCAGCAGGCTTGGGCCAAGGTGGCATTGCCAAAGGACGAATACGCAAGCACAGCGTAGATCACAGGACGATGACTTGCGACAAACCAGACTCACTGCATCTCACAGCAGAGGACGTCATGTTCTCCTGCTAGCTGCTAGATCTGCTAGCATCGTTCTGGCCAGCTCAGGTCTTTGCCGCAAAGAGACCAGGCCAGGGCTTCGGGTTGGCTTTTTCCAAGGTCACCTTGGCGTCCTAGAAGTACCCCCTCGCATCCCCTAACGTTCGTGGCCGAGGTCCGGGCTACAAGAGCACCTTTGCTCAAAGTCCACGTGCAACCTCTGTCAGGACATGTCAGGGTTTGCGCTGCAGCCTGCAGCGAAGACTCCAAAAGAATCGGCAGCCTTCTGGGCAACATGGTGCCGCAAGAGCCCCCTCAACCAGCGTTGTGCCAGAATGCAAGACCTCGCATTGCGCTGGGGGCAAGAAATTACATTCATGGTATCAACCTGTCACAATGCAAAGCTGAGGCGTGCTTTGAGAGACTTCGGCTGGAACTGAACCTCGACGGGAAGAGCTGTGGCAACCGTCTTCCGTCGGACACACCCCGAGAAACTGCGGCGAACCTTGATGTCTGCCTTCGCCGCATCACTTGGGACGTGGACAGAAATCTCAACCTCCTCGGTATCCTGCACGACTTTCGATGCCTGTTGGCCACTGCTTGCTTGTTGGATTCGCACATTTTCCATGTAACGCTGTCCTGCCGCCACTTGTAGGCATCAGTCGAGCCACCTTGCTGCGGAGGCCTCGCTAATCACCCACAAGGACTTGATCGCCAAGAAAAGAGACGAAGTATCTGGCGGGGGCCCTGGTGGAGGCGCGAAAGGAGGCGGAACTCCAGGTCTGGGCATCCCTCCAGCTGCAGCCACGGCCTGTGATCGAGTAAGGGTAAAGACTCCTCGGAGCCTGGTTTCGCAGCCTTCGCCGCCGCGGCCATCGCAGCACCTGCCAGATCTTACCGTGAGTAGCAGAGCCCCTCTGAAGACATACTCCCCCTCGCAATGGTCTGCTCACCAGCCAGGATGGACAAAAACCGGCCAGATTAAGCGTTGGCAACTTTGACAACTCCTGCGATTCAAGGCCCAAGGATGCCCACAGAACGAGTGCGCCAAGTTCCTGACAATATCTCTGAGCAGAGCCAGAGAGAGACAGAAAGGGTGCGGGGATGCAAGGGGAAGCAGGGAATCAGACAGATCGGGAATGCATTTCGGAAGTGCTGCGGTGCAAACTTTCGTGGTCTATAGTAGTTGTTGCATGGCTGCCATATGTTGCAGTACAGCGGGGGGGCTTGAGGCGCACCATCGCTAAAGCTTGTTCATGCTACCTGCACCCCTCCTGGCAGCCCCTGGCTAGATGTGCTGCTGTGGCTGCCCTACCACACCCTTTCTAACACCAGCACGCTGGAAGCAGCGATAGAAGTGTCCGTAACGGAGTTCAGTTCCGTTGGTTGGGCCACCTTCTGTGCCCAGGACTGAACCATCACGTGCTTTGTAAAATCAAACTCCTAGCCAATTAGCGCGAAAACTAACTGTCGCAGTACTTTTCGTCGGGAAGGAGAAATTCTGATGCAGTCATGCACAACTGAGAACAGCTTGACAACAGAAACAGATCCGAGCAAGACAACATGCTCCAGGCACACTCCAGCGACGTCATCGGAGGTCCTAAAATCAACAATGCCCATGACCGAGCCTCCAGGATTCTCCGGCGGCTCCGGAAACTTTTCCCAGATTTTGTCGCCGTATCTGACAACAAGCTGCATAGCCTCGGCGAGGCGAGTGCGCGCATCTTTGAAGATTGCTCAAAGCGATACCTGATCCGGCGCACTTCCGACACGATGCCCTGTGGATCCTGTAGCGGCTCAATGGCCAATGCCTGAGCTGCAAGGGGCTACAGGGCCAGGGGGTACCGTGATGTCGCGTGTCTTGTGCCTCAAGCCTGGAACATGTGTGTCGCGTGTCTTGTGCCTCAAGCCTGGAACATGTGTGTTTCAGCAGATGAACCTCGAGTTTGAGAGCCTCGATTTCTTGCGAGAGTTCTCGTTCGGCGGCCAGCACCTCAAGGATTCGCAGCATGCGACACCAACCTGCTAATCTGGCTCTGCATCTGCGCCCAGTGGCTGAATTCCAAAACTTGGACGTAATGATGCCTTTGGAAAAGAGCTTCCAATATCCACGGGCCTAAGTTCAGTGAACGACGGTCCTGATCCTCTGATCGTTTGCCGTAGAATGCAGCGCTCAACTGCTGGGCGTATGACATCTGCATCAATCTTTTGCAACAGAGACATGTCTCCAATAGCACGCTGCATGAGCCTGTACCTGAACAAGAATCTGTGGGAAATCGACACCCTAGACAGAATCCTCATGGGGCACTTGAGCAAGTCTTTTGCATGTGGCGGCAGCTTGCACACCCACTGATCTCCAGCCATGTCCTGCATAAGGCTGTTAGGGCAAGCAGACCCCGAAAAAGCCTCTCGCGCTGTCTCTAAGCGGTACTTATTCTGTTCTAGACGGTGACTGTACTGTCGTTTCTGGTCTGCGGGAATCTTGGAAGAAAGTGCAACTCTCCGACATCTCGGGCAGCTGGTTGCCACCAGCATGGTGAGAAGAGCACACGGTCGAAGGCAGGTTACGATCGCTAGTGCTTGCAGTGAACCAGCATTGGAGGCTACCGAAATCCCAAAGACATCCCACAGTTCGGGCAGGTCTTTTGCAAACTCGCCCTGCAACTTGTTCTTCAGCTGCTGGTATGCCTCATGTTGCAGGCGTTTTTGAAGATGTATTTCCAGCCGTGGAAGCTTCGACGTCGGGCCCTGTCGGCCTGGATCTTGTCCTCTGGCAACGCATTTCTTGGATACGTGGGCTTCACCTCAAGACTTTCCTGTTTGAAGCCAAACCGACTTGCGATTTCACCTTAGGCTCAAGCGCCCAGCTCCTCCAAGGAATCTGGTTGCCTGAAATTGCTTCGACTGCCGCTTGACAGAGGCCGCAGGAGACAAGCAATGCCAAGCCTCAACGCCAGCCAAAAGCTGAATGCTGAAGACATGACCAAGCCGACCGCGATCACAACGCCCACCACCAGCCTGAGACTTCCAAGTTGCTCGAAAAGGCCCCGCCCGCCGCCACTCTGCTTCCCGGTATGCTGAAGGCAGCGGCAACCATGCTGCCATCGCTGGAGCGGCGATTAGCCTGGCACTAGCCGTGGAACAACATGTTAGGCTGCTAGGCGTGTCTTCGGTGGTATGAGTCCGAATACGATAGACTCTCACAAAGAAACCCGCGTCGACGATCCGAAGAAAACGAAGCAATCGATGAGTGCATCTCGGGCCAGAGGGATCCCGGTATCTATTGATTATTGACATCCGGAAACGACCGTTCGCTTTATATCCAGCCCCATAAGTCTCCTGCGGATGCAAGGCGCGGGAGCTCAGAGGAATTATTGAAGGATTGCAAATCGTGAAATCTGCTGCCTTGATGCCGCCTTGTCAACGCCGCGCGCTGCTTCGTTTCAAGACCATCGCTGACGAATGTCGGAAGCTTGACATTACTCGCATGGCCAAGGCTTTAACAACACGATGGATGCACTTCTTCGCTACACTCCGCGACTTTGAGGGCTGTAGCATGCTGTAGCTGGTTGAAGTGGGACATGCCTGGGGCGGCTAGGTTAAACAAAGTAGGAGTGAGTGTCAACAGCTGCTGGTGAGTACCCACTTTGGCCAGCAATACTGTGCAGCTTCGCAAGTGGTCTGCAGTCTGCGGCTGCTCTTGTGACAGGCAGGGCTACCCTGGTGCTGCCTTCTTTTAGTCCTGGAGCCTGAGAGAAAACGGTGAACCAACTCCAAAAAATGATTCGATCTGCATGCCAACCACAGCTGACCTGCAGGCAAGCATGGCTCGGCTTGGTTTTGAAACGAGGCACGCCGCCCTTCCCCATTGAATGCACCATTCGATGACACTGCACCGGGGTAAGTCGGTCCGACGGTCGCATCTCAAAGCTCCTTTTGAGTCAACTCTCCTCGTCTGCGCGGTCTCGGTCTGCACGTGCCTTCGAGCCGAGGCTCCTAAGACGCGACGGCGACTCCGCGAACGAGGCAGCCGGGCGGCTCTCTGCTGAGGCTCCGGCCTGGCCCTTTGCACGGTCTGCTCCGTAGCCTCTCACAGAGAGGAGAAAGGAGGAGATGGGAGAAAGAGGAGGGCAGGAGGCTCTCTGAAAGACCCCGAAGACTGCCTGCGCGATGGCAACCTCGCTGGCAGCCTGTGTTCGCTTCAGGCCGGTCTTTTAAATTCATTGCCGACCCGGGGGTCCTGAAGCTGGCGGAGCTTTGAAAGCAGTGCTCCAAGGGTGTCCAGGCCTTTGGCCACGACCTTCAGAGCACGGCCCCACCCACGCATCCCACGCATTACACAGCCCTGTCATCACTGCGACTCGGTTTTTGGGGTGCCTCTCCGCTTCGGGCTTCGATCTCTGCAGACAGCATGGCATTCGCTCGCTGCAGGCCTGGCTGCAGTCGACTACGGTTGCACAATCTCATGACCTACTCGTGCGCACCCAGCTCGGGCCACAGGGATGGGGTTCAGCTTGCCACGTGCTGAGAATTGTGATGCACGCCACCGCAAAGCGGCCGATCTTGTCGCCCGGCGTCGCGCACACGGCGCAACGAGCTGTCCAAAGTGCCAAGATGTGCTAAGCTCGTGGCTGGCTCTTTTCCAGCGCTTCTGCTTGGAGACAGACATCTCCTGCAGAATGCGCAAGATTGCGGCTGAGCAGTTCCGAGCGACTAGGCCTGGTGAGGATCGCTCGGGTGCTCAGGTCCGCCTTGGAGAGGCTCAGACTCTCAAGAGTAAACGCATGCTCAGCTGCCTCTGTGCTTCCTGCACCCCTGTTCCTTAAAGAGGAAACTGCTCGTGCGACTTGTTATCGATGACGTGGCTTTTGACGTGTCAGTGACATGTAAGGTGAATGGAGCACATCATGCCGTCAGCAATCATCAGAATCAGCATCGAGTTGGGCAGCGGGTTGGTTACGTCTCTCAGCAAATCTTCGCAGAAATACCAGGCGCTGCAACAGTCAGATCCAATCACCAAACCGGGATAGTGCCAGGGACTACCGGAGTGACTACGACAACCGGAATCACAGCAGCATGCACTGTTACGCACATGCAGCAGCAGAGCCCAAGCACGTGGTTGTGTCTGGTGCCGGGCTTGATCACTCTTCAGCCGGGGCCTGCACGGCTTTCGTGCTCTTCTGGCTCGACCACAGCACCTTGCTTGCCCGTGCAGGCACAGAGCTCGCAAAAGCGAACCCGCCCAGATGATAAGATGAGAAAAAACTGCAACCGCGTTGACGAATGGGCTCAGGAATCAACGTTGGCTGTCGCCACGTTCTGAAGCCTCACGCGGAGCTGCTCCTGCAAGGACTACATCCTATGAGCGGAAGAGATTAGGCGAAGAACAATAGTCCTGCGCTTGGGGGCGTGCTTCCAGAGACATTCGACGGGGCTGACGGCGGGGCCTGTTGTGCACATTCGTTGATACAACAGTGGATCCTCCAGATGTGGAAGGCACAGCATCGCTAGAGTCTCGCTGGCTGTTGGCTTTTGCCTGCGCCTCCGGCCGTAGCTCCTCAGCTTGAGCCTCTCAAGGAAGCGACATCAAAGCTGTTCCTTCCTGACGACAGCGCAGCTTCCCGAAACTATTACTCGAGAGATCTCGAGAGACTGAGAATCCAGTGGCAAAGGAGCCGTGCTTAGCTTCGAGCAGTTCTACTATTCTACTAGCACCGGCTCAGCCAGGGATGCTGAGACCGAGCTGTCCGAGGGAGCTAGTCGCCCTCCTGCAATCCACACTGTCGAGTGCTCATGAAATGGGTGCATTTGCGGGTTGGCCGGCCCTCGGCTGAGAAGCTCGAACGAAGACAGCGCATGTCTTCGCTTCTCTGAGGGTAATGTAGGCAAGACTACACTGTGATGAGGCTTGTTGATGCATGCTGCAAGCTGCTCAGCACCTTCCCGAATAATCCTGGAGTGCTGAGGCTGTGGTTTAACATGGTATGTGCTCCTGGTGCCTAAGTGCAATCATGGCTGCACCGGACGAAGCCCTCGATGCATGCCACATGCTGTGAAGACAGCAGAGACTATCGCGTGCATGTGGGCCAGCGTTTGTGCAGTCACGGGTGGTCCTTCTCGGTGTTGAAGTTTCCGTGTGAAGGCACACCAGCTAGCGATGCCCACAGCAGGCACGATTGCTCTCTGCAAGACTTCGACTCGGACACGCAAGGAAGAGCCACAGCCGAGAAGACCGCAACAGATTGGGCAAGCCTCCCTGCTCTCTCGCTCACTTTGCACTCGGTTGCCTGTGGGACCCCCGAGGGTCTCGACCATCGGTCTCGCACTAGAGGAGCTTCGTCCATGTACCGTGGGGCCTCAAGTTCGCGGCATGCGGCAAGATCCCTGCAACCTTCACCTTTACACTTTACAATCTTTACATGATCTATGGCCCCGACCAATCTGGCATCTGGCCACCTGCCGTAAGGTTCTTGCACTCCTTGGGCCTGAGATCGAGGACTCTCTGGACCCGGCTTTGGGTCTCCAGTGGTCACAAGCTGAGCTAGCTGAGCACTGCACTCGGTTAAGAACTGCACCTACACCTGCAGCTGCCCCTACGCCTCGAAACGACGGGTGCGAAATGCGAACCCGACAGGCGTCAAAGTGTACACGGAGGCCTGCCGCTCCAACGCCCGCTGCAGCTACCTTAGCGGCAGATGCGCGCACTTGGAAACGGACCCTCGCCGCCGACGCCGCCGACCCTGAGCTCGGTTCGTCGGGATTCACGGTGGTCAGCGCTGCCCCGGCCACAGCGCCACTGGTAAGGCCCAGGGCGGCTCCCGAGGCCGCACCTCCAGCCGCCCCGGCCTTGGCAAGGAGGGGAGAGCCGCGAGGCATCGTCCCTTCCTGCCCCAAGTGCCCCCGAGTCCCAGGCAAGGCCGTTGCCACCGGAACCGCCTAAAGCAGCTCCGCTGCCTGCGCCGGCCACAGCTCCTGTGACTGCGCCAACGAGCGCTCCAGCTATGATGTCCTGGAGGCTTCCAGCCAGAATAAAGATCGCGGCAGCAGCGCTTACAGTTCTCTCAGGTACCGGTGTATCTGTATCTCTGCATCCCTCTGCAGAACTCCTCGACCACAACAGGAGTGCGCAGCTCCCGGTGCCTCTCGGCAAAGCCTGCATAACAGCAGGGAAGGACAGAAATCAAGATCCAGATCGAGCGCTGGTGCTGTGACCTCGGGAGGCCGGTGGCTCAGGGCCTCAGGGAACGAGTTCACACCGCAAGGGCCGAGAGGCTGATTCAGATTCGAAGTCGGATAAATCCGGCAGGACTCCTGTCGCCACTTGGTAAGTGTGCCCTTAACAGAAGGCGGACGTACAACAAACTTCTTCCAGGCCCATCGCAAACTGTATTGTTGCTGAAGCCAGCTCAGAAATTTCGGGGGGGCTTCGGCAATCTTCGGGCTTCGGGGCAAACGCGCATGCCATGTTGCAGAGCCACGGCCTCATCCTCCCCTCAAGCTGGGGGCCTGGCCCGCGCTGGGCAGCCGAGCCCGATCCGGCCGATCCTGACAAGCCGGCGCCCAGAACCCTTCGGCACGTGCGACGCGGACCCTCCTCGGCTCTCGAGGTGTATGGCACGGTCGCCTGCCATACAATCTCCGTGCCCGAGATGACCCCCCAAACAATACCGATGAGCTATCAGCAGAACACGAAGAAGCCGCGTCCACCTTCGCCTCGCCGTTTCTAGAATCCAGGACACTTCTCCTTCAGACAACTGATACTGAAGTGCTTCCTTCGAGAAGTCGCAGGACTAACCCAGCTTGAGTAGGGAAACGATCAAACGATTGCCTGCTTCAAGAGATGCTGCTTTGATGATGCTTATGGCAGTCCTAATGTCTTCTTCGTCGTTGGCATCGACGGCGCAGAGGCCCTCATCTATAGACCATTACATTGCAACGTGAAGTTCCAAGACTGCAGTAGTACTTGGGAGATGGCTTGTCGGCATAAGCCATGAGCGCCGTTCGGCGACTGCCCAAGACACCATGCAAATGCCTGGGCAGTGGGTCCGCTAGAAGGCTTGCTGCCAGCATGTGCCTTCTTACCTTGACAGTTTGCTGCACCTTAGGCTCTGGAACATTCTGGAACTGGACATGGTGAATAAGAAGCCTTGTGAAGTCTTCCGGAGTACTGGAGGATTGACAAGCTGCGAGTCCTATAGCGTGAACCATCGTGAACCACTGGGCCGATGGACGCTGTGCCTTTCAGGCGAAATCCCGAATATGACTGCCGAAGCTCAGGGGACGACGCAGAGGAGCGCCAGATGGCGCCTGCTGCGTGCGACCGACTTCGTTCCGACTTCGCTCTCCCAGAGCTCTCCCGTGCCTGCAACGGCCTGGACCTTGGCCGCCAGGCATGCCAGGACTCGCCGCCGCTCTTGGATCCCACGGGGAGCCTCGTGCTTCGATCTGCCAGGGTGATCGCCATCTGACCTCGAAAAAATGCGGCAGCACTTGATCCGAAAGAGCTTTACCACTAGCATCCCCATGCCAAAACCGAAAAAAACCCAAAAACACGCACCAAAATTTCTAACAAGGAGCCCTTGTTTTGTGCACTCACAATCTCCTACGAGTGGGAGGAGCGAGGCCGGAGCAGAAGGCAAGAAGCGCCCCGAGTTCTCTGCGTCTGAGTCGCTCGGGCTTTCGATGCGGCATGTCGCATGGCCAAAAAGGACGGTAGGAGGATCAAATCACTGAAGACTATAGGTCCTTGGGTAGCACTGAGGATGGTGTTGGGAAGAGTCTAGCATGACCGTGACCTGTTGCTAAGCACGCGTGATGGACGAGAGCCGTCTTCGGCTAAGCTTGCTCTGATCATGATGTCCTGGCGTGTCGCTGTCTGGCTTGAGCAAGGGAGGTTTCCCTCGTGCAAGGCGGTGCTCTCATGAGAAAGCAGATGTTCGCCTGGCTTCACAACTGCTATGCTCTGGTAAAGTGCTCATTGTTTGCTCGTTCTACAGCTCATAGACGGGGTCAAGCGCAGTCATTTTATGACGAGCAGTGTCTGGCTTCACTCAGTGTGTCGTCGCTGTGCCCAGGAGCTCTTTGCACACTGAACCAAGGCTCGACATGCTCCAATGCTAATCGAATGCCAGACATGTTGTTGCTGCTGCGTGAGATTCAGGAATGCGCGAATTAGCCAACTGGTGACTTTAACAAAGCACTGCAGGTCGAAGAGTCGCATGGACATCACGACTTCCGCATCTGCAGCCATCTGCTGGCCAAGGCAACAATTCCAAGCATCACCTGGCCAACACACGCTTTACTGCACGCAGGATGCTGAAATCGTTCGAGACGTCCCGAAGTACTGCTGGCAGCACGACGAAAGCACAGCCAAACCAGCCGGCCAGGGTTAGCGACCTCGGCACATCACTCGGCACATCTCGGCAGTTGGTCTGGGCCTCACACGGTCCCCGCTCCGACGGTCCGAGGAGGGGGCGCCATGATGCAAGCAGCCACGACGACTCCAGCTAGGACCTCTCGACAATGCCGTCACAGACGTCCAAAGCACGCTCGACGGCGTCATGTCTGCTCTGAGTTTCGTGCTGACGTGATAGCCTCAGGTCTTCTCACATAAACGACCATGGTAGACAGTGAAGCCAAGCGAAGCCTCCCAGAGGTCCATCCCTAGCAGGTAGGCCACCTCGACAAGATGCTGGGATGGGGAGCGGCTAGGCGGATGGGTGCAATTCGTGGCATCTTTGCCCGAAACCTGCAAGCCTGTATTGCAAGCGAGTCTGTCTGAACCTCGAACCTCCTCGAACTGCCTCGAACCACCGTCACAGCGGCCAACTGGGTCTCACCCTTTACATGCGTGGGAAAACCGAGACCTGTGATGCTGAAACCCTCTCATGGCCGCTAGCGATTCCTCTCCTCGCCCTTCACGAGGCAAGGAGTGGCTCCCGGGTCCCAGGCCATGGCGCCGGTCCAGGCTCCCGTCCCAGGCAAAGGGACACCGACGAACCTCACGCGGACGTGTAGAGTAAACTTGTAGAGACCGGAAACTTTGCCCACTTAAGGGCTGCACGCTGCGACACCAACCCATCGGTCATGGGCTCCGATTGGCTCTGTCTTCCTGAACTTAACACTCGACTCAGACGCCGCAAAGGTGTAGCTCCTTTCACGCCAAGCGACTGCGCTGCGCGTTTTAGCAGCGGAGACAGCAACTGCTTCATCTGCTCAATCCTTGCGTGCGTCAGGCTTCTTCGGGACAGAACAACGGCTCAGTGTCCTGAGCGCTGCCAGTATCAGCGGGATTGGAATCATGTTGCCCACAATACACAGCAACATCACCTCAAGCACTTGTTCGGTTTGTGAGGCGACTTTCTGGCTAGCCTGCGGCAGGGCCTGCGGCACGGCCAATCCCATCCAAAGACCGACTGGAACCCCTCCACGAAGTTCCACCTGCGGACAAAAGTCACTTCTCCTGTTCTTCCCGACCTGGCACCTCGCAGGCACGTTTGGGTCTGGGGGTCTGGCTAGTGGCAAGGCTGAGATCATCATGAGGATGGCCCAGTCCTAGCTTTGCCGCTTTGCAGGGCTGCCACAGTGAACCCGGCATAGCTCAGCCAAACCGTTTCGAGGGTCCCACGGGGATAGAAAAACAAGTCTTCATCTTGGTCGCCAGGCGAATCCCAAGGTGAGGCCTCGCGATTGACTTCTGAAGGGAACTTCAGGATGGTGCCGTGCCCTAAGAGCTTTAAAAGGCAGGGATAATTCACAGCAGTTTGCAGGCCTGGCTGCAACGGCAGCGGCCTGTCGGACGGGCACGCGCATGCACGAGCACCGCTTTGCGCAGCAAAGCTGTGCCTTCGCACTGGAAGCTGCAGCAAACCCGATGCAAAGTCCGAGCAGAATTCCGGCTGTGGAGCCTCAGGCCAAGCTGCGGCACTGGGACTCGAACTTGGAATCAGCTTTCATCCATTGTTCGATGATGCGTGGAGGCACTGCTGGAATCAAAACCCAGACAGGCTAGCAAACAACAAAGCCATATTAAACTCTTGAAGAGCCAGCCGGCAAATGCAAGTGCACACAAAAAACGACGGCGATACTTCAAGAAGCAAGTACAGATGTGGCGGCACCAAAGCATTTGGGATATGAACCTGGTTTCAACTTGATAACTTTCCATTCCTAGGGAGGACATTCCCATTGAAGAACGTGCCAAAGAGCGGGCCAAACGCGCTCGAGGCCTTGCGGTAGACCAAACCTGATCAGAGCTTTACAGCAGGCCACTTTGTGTTCAAAAGGCAGTGCCGCTGGGAATTCGGCTGGCTCAGCCTGAGCTCTGCAAGGTGTGGAGCGGGTGCGAAATTGCCTGCAACTCAAATTGTCGATAATTAGTAGGAAGCTTCCAACCCCTCCCAGAGGCCCGTCAACACGAGCCAAGGGTCGCATGCCGAAACCAATTCCTCGCCCTGCCTTGGGGTAGACTTGGAGTCAAAAAATGTTTCCATACCTGGCAGCAAGCAGATTCAAGCACTCCGGTTCAAACAGGCAGTTGAAGAGGCCTCTTCCACGGCCTAGCACGGAAGGAACTGCCTCAACAGCTATGGCGACCAGAGCGTCAAATCAACGTGCTGTCTTTGCACAGCACACGGCAGCTTTGAGGCCTGGGCATGTTCCTGTGCCATCGGAGGGCACGTCAAAGCCATAGCCTCCCAGCTTGCTCACTTCAACATGCTTCAACATTTCACATGTTCTTGACGGGCACTTAGCACCATGCATCTCTGGTGTCGGTCAAGCGCAGAAGGCGTTCGTCGGAAGACCTCGGCACGTTTGAGGTTTTGCCCTTCACTAAATGGTCCAGCTTGTGACTGTTCTGGGTGCCGTGTGGATGCGAAAGCAAGATGGCTCCGGCCGTTGCTAGCAAGGCACCTCTGACGCGTATTCTAGCAAAGCACTTGAAGCCGCTTAAAGCCTTCGATGATCTTCGATTCAACTCGCAGTGGTTCCGCCTTTGCAGCTGCGGCCTGGTCTAAGCAGGCGCATCACCGGGCACGAAGGATGCGCGTAGCGGCTTCATAAGTGACCAATCAGCTGCAGGAACAAAACATTGCAACTCTCGGCAGTTTGGTAGCTCTCCCCCTTTGCTCTGGTTCTGATCCGTTTTAGGCTGCTGAGATCTCGCTGCGCAGCTCCGCTCGTGGAGGCCCTCCTCCTAAGTCCTACACTACAGAAACCAAAAACTCTCAATTGAGAGCGCGATGCAATTGTCACATCTGCTAAAGCATGCATTAAACAATTTGTTTCGAAGTTTCGAATGCCCTTACACTCAGGCGCTCAGTTCACGCCTGCAAGAGCCTTCTTCGGAATTCGCCATTCCTGCCGTCTTCGCAAAACGCGCCGGAAATAGTGCAGGTAGCATCAGATAGCAAGGAGGCACAGCAGCGGCGCTCCGATCCGTACAGTTTCTCCACGCACCTCGTTTAAGATCGGAAGCGTGCTTGACAAATCCACCAAATAATGGGGCGATGCAATTACCAGAATAAGTTTCAGACGCTCTCGGTCGTGCAGGCGCCGAAAAGTTGCGCCCACGAATCTGGAGATGCTTGACGCCGAGAGGTTCAACCTGCATCCAAAGAAAGCGAAAGCTTCGCATCAAAACTTGATGTTAGGACGCGCAGTCTGCATCCCAGCTCGCGGCGCAATCGACGAGGTGAAGGTCAGTGATTTGCCACCAGTCGCTGGCGTACACCTTGGGAAAGTCAACTGCCAGGCTGCAGAATATCCTGTGCCGTGGACATCGATGCATGGAGGCTCGTACTGACTACTTGGCAGCAAGCCACATGCAAGTCCAGTTAGTTCTGTGTCCACTTGCAATCACTGGGAGACGGGCATCCAAATGGAAGTCTGCGGGCCGGCTGAACCGATCACCTTCTTGCCTGGGAGCTTTGATAGGAAAGTGTAGAGTCACTGTGAGCTATCTGCCGAGCTTGATGCCCGCCGATGATGGAGGAGGCAAACCCCTCCCAATCGGCGCAAACTCTGGAGACTTTTTCCTTCGCCGGGTCTGTGAGACGCAGCTCAGTTCACAGACATGACACTCATGACAGTTGCCTCCCACTGATCCACTCCGAAGAGGTAGCGTCTTCCACCGAAAAACTCTGCAGCCTGAGCCATGGAGCCACGACAAGCTATGGTCCGTTTGGGCGCTGCAGCAGCTGTCTCCGCAAGCCTCCAAACCACGCTGGAGTTGGGGCCAATATCGGCGGTCTACAACGATGTCCATGTCCTGCAGGCAGTGGCCCTTTGGGGCAGTGCGCTTGTCGTCACAACAAGCCGCTGCCTGGGTCCAAGGCAAGATATCATCTTCGCGCAGCGCACCTCTATCATTTTGAATGACTCTGCGGCGCTACGAGGCTTGCAAGGCTGGACTTCGGATGCGCGAATCGTGTCAATGTGCACCCAGCAAAGTTCCGTAGGTGATGAAGTATGGAATGCCCTGCTCGTGGAGCCATCCGGTAACATCGGTCAGCATCAGGAGCATGTAGTCGCTACAGCACCCATACCTAAAACGAGACAAGCCATGGCCATGACCAGCGGCTGGGAGCACAAGACAGCTGGAGCACGGAGTTTGCAGAGACCTGGCAAGCAGTCAGAGTCCACAACAGCGCACATTCTTGGTTTGAGCCGGTCATGCGCGGCCTCTGCGAGGCGCTGGCACACGTGGCATTGCGGTCGCACTTGGGCGTCCGGCACGACACGGACTGGCGAAGGCCGAAGGCCCAACAGACGCAGCTGACAACTCACAAGCGGCTTCTTCAAAGACTCGTCCTACCTCAATCGCACTTGCAGGTCGATCATGCTCGCATCAAGGATTCGAGCTGCCTCCCTTTGGAGAACAACACGATTACGACTGTGCACATCCAATGCAGGCCCCTGCAGGCTGAAGCGGATCCGGCCTGTATTGTGGGAAGCATGCTGAGCTCCTTCTTCAGGCTTTGCGGGGAGTCATCCTTTGGCCCGGACCTGGGCTGGGCTGGCTTGCAGAAGCAAAGAGAGTCTGAAGCTCGTTCCGGCTGCTGATGCCCGCAATCAAGCAAAAAGAAAGGCTCGGCTCAACTAGTGACGCGACGACCACAGGCGTTGGGCCCAGACTCACGTCCAAGCATCTCATCCGCGCCACCGAAACTATCGTAACCTCGACGCTGCAAGTGTTGAACAATTTCACACTCCCACATCTAAACAGGACCACGCAAGGGAGAGTAAGGGGGAGTGCAAGCTCGCCTCGGTCGTATCGACCGTAGCCGTAGCCATAGGGATCCCCGGATTTCCCACCTTGCGCAATGCAGCACTGCGCGAAACGATTGATGAGAGCAGCAGGCCATGCGCTCTTCACGGGCAGAAAAGAGCAGAAGTCACGACACAATGGGAGCCCCGGGACCAGGATTGAGCATAAACTACGCCCACACTGCAAGCACGAACGTTCGCGAAGCTCACTGATCTGCTCTGGACTCATGAGAGCGCACAACAAGCTGGTTTTGCGCTCAGGCATGGGGT